ACAAATTTTACAGCTTTTGAATAAAATTCCATTCACTCAAAGAATCTAAGTAATTTTATTCTTCTATTTAAAACATTTTTTCACAATGTATAACTTTTATTGATATTGAAGAATATTAGGTCCTTTAAAAGAAATATTTTTTTAAAAAAAAACCTGATATCTTTGCCCTAGGGATTGTTCCCTGGGTGCATAGCAGAATCCATGACACGTGTACATATGGAGCTACCGTGAGGTGACCTGAGCCCTGAGCCTGAATAGATCTGTGGTGAGCACAGATGATGAATTTTTTATAACCTTTGATATATCATCAGTGCTTAGACCGACTGTCTTACCTTAGTAAGCACACCATGTTCAATTTTAATGTTACTTTGGCAAATTTGAATTCACTTGATTTCTCGGTTTTCTGTTCAAATACATTTCTATAATGTAGCTTCTGTATCTAATCTTTTTAAACAGTGAAGTATCATTTCATAATAGTATTTCATATCTGTGAAATGTGCGATCACTTACGGGATGGAATCTCTTGACTGGAAAAAGGTAGCTCAAAGATTTCAACCCCAGTTTAGCTGTGGCCACACCTTTTGTTTTGCCCTTTTCTATTCTTACCTTTTTCTTCACAGTTTTCTGCAATCAGTGGGCCTCTTTGTGACAAGCTCTAGTTAAAGTACTTATTTGCAGCCAATTCCCATTTTCTTTAGGGACTATGTGCTTCTCTAAATTGTGTGCCTAAAAATGTTCTGGGGATCACATATACTTATTATGGTATTTTAATTAGATTTTCTAATATCACATTTTTGGGGAAATGGCTACTTTCTTATTCACTGCTATTAGTTTGAAATTACTGTTTTATCATTTTATTATATGCCTTCTCACTCAGGTGACATGAAAATTATATTACATTAATTTTTTTTATAAGATACCCTTGCTCATTCATCACTGTTGTAGTCAGCACCCAAGTAATGTGTATATTATTTGATTGCTTTTAGGTTGTGGCTTATCATCAGGGAAACTCTTTTTCAACCATCAGTCAGTACTTGCTGTTGCCAATTAGTCCTTCTTTTTAAGAGTAGACTTTGAGTTGTGTAGTAAGAAATGGCACAATTCAGATAACAAAAACAATCCACTTACCAGAGTGGCAGCCAGTCTTCTATGTGAATTAATCTATGAGCATTCATCATAGCAGGTTCTTTGTCATTTTGGCAGTTGACACAGAGCAAAGTGAAGCACGGCATCAATAAAGGGACTAAAAGAAGTCTGTACATTATTTTTATTAGAAACACGCAATTACCTGCACACAGGAAATCTCAAATGCCACCATTACCTTGCTTTTGTGATCTCACACAGAGTATGATCTGACCTATACTTGGTCTTTGAAAGCAGCTAGTCCATTACTGGAAAGTAAAGAATAGGCATTAATGTAGCAAGAACCTTGTTCCACAATTAACAATAGTAAATTGATTTTGATGGCTTTCTTGTATATATAGTGCCCTCCACAATTCCATTGTATGGTGAACAAATATTTATAGATGTCACTGGTTTTTAATAGAGCTCCTTGTACAATCTAGCTTAAAAAGGGAGTAAAGATGGAAGGCAGGCAGGAAAGCAAGCGGGAAGGAGAGCAGGCAGGAAGGTGAGAAGGAAGGAAGACAGGAAGGCTGTTCAGCCCACAAACAGGCCCCTCCCTCACACCACACATGTTCTCCTACCACCTCTCTATGTTATTTAGCTATCACTCTGAATAGTTATCAGTGATAATAAATTAGCAACTGTGAATTTGGAATTTTATGGAAAACGTTTTTTTCTTTTATGTTATAATGAATTTAGGTTCAGCAGTTGCATGATTTCTGAGGCTAGCCTTTTCATACTTCGACTGGAATAAGTCAATATTGAGTACTCCATAAGGAGGCATGAAGGAATTTTGGTTTGTGTAGATGGGGAAAGGGGAGGGGTGCGGTTGTGGGGATGGAAAGGACAGTAGAAAGAGACAGATGTTATTACAGTATAAACATGTATGATTACACAAGTGGAGTGACTCTGAACCATGTACAGCCAGAGGAAGGAGAAGTTGTGCTCCATTTGTGTACTGTATGTCAAAAGGCATTATACTGTAACATTAATTAATTTTTAAAAAATATTGTATACTTTTATCATTTGGAAATCTCAAACTCACTGGGCAATTTGTTGCCTCTTTGAGTTCTGTGATTTCCTTACACTGGGTCATCACAGGTTTGCCTCAAATTTTTAGAAAGGTTTTCTGCCTTCATTCTTCATCACTCGTATCTTCGGCAGTCTTCAACTCCTGGGGCCTTACTCTCGAAAACATAATCTTTACCAATATCCTCCTATGCTGAACTTATTATTGTCTTAAATCTTTCTAGATCTAGAATGGGGTAGTCTCCCTAATTTGGTATTTTTTCAAACTGTGAACCACAGATCGCATTCTGCAAAGTGACCTGA